TGCCTTGTTCATCAGGAAAATACAGTTTATAATCTCAAGAGCCAGCAAATTCGCGCGACGAGAAAATTGTCGGTGTCTACTTTGAAGCAAGCAGGAAATATTGGGCAGTAGCTACGGGTACTACTGTCTTTGATTATTTCGTCTTTTGTCATCGAAGCCCACGAATTTGGCTCGTTTTGCAAAAATTTCCACCACCTGCTTTGGACATTGCGATTTTGTGCATGGACTACTTTTCTTGGGCTGATTACTGTTCTCACTCAAGAGTAGTTTTGCCCAGTATGCTCCATAGTTTCATAACTCAAAAATCTGTCCTGCAATATTGTCTACGATTTTGTTGAAAAGTCTCCAAGAACTAATTTGTTATTAATTTCTTATACTGATAAAGAACTTGTGATTCGTCTCCTAAATCCATCGTACCATAAAGTTTCCATGTTTTTCTACTTATACCACTTCTTCTTCTACGCGTATCACTTTTGCTTTGGCGGCGAGTACTGTGGAATGGCTCTCATCACGTCAACAGCGCTCATATTCATGAGTTTGGAATAAATTTTTTAGGCAAATTTTATCCTCCACTCTGTTCTGAGAATCTGCTTAGTTCAACCCATAGATTTTCAGCATTCAATGGTGTTTTTCTTTAATCGATATGAAATGCTTTGATTTTGAACCAGGATCGCCCGCATCGTTTTTTTTTCTGGGAGTACTATTGAGCGATATGATTTATGCTCACGTACTTTTCTTTAAACTTCTATTGATTTTCCATCTATTTTATGCTGAATGAAAACACAGGTGACCAAGTTGTTGAAGGCGGAGGACTTTGACAATTCACACGCAATCAGATGTCTTATGAGTGCATGTAAAGCAGTGGTTAGATGTGCTCTGCTCTCACAAGAGGTTCGATCTTGCGCTCATGGCTAACCGATACATCCTTCCCTAAGGGTCGGTAACGGTACCAGGCTGATCTAAGACTTGTCCAGGACGATAAGTTAACACTGACTCGAAACAGCTGGAGGCCACCGCAAGTCATTATTAATGCCAGGTATGCATTCAATCACCTCATATGAAGTTGGGAATTGGACACATAGCTGTGCTGGGATAGGCGAGAAACTGTGAGCACGGTTTGAGAAAATAAGAGGAAAAAAACAACTGCTTCTTATTTCTTTTGGGTTGCCACATTCGCCTTAAGACGGAAATATGAATTTTTCCTTTGCGATTTCACAAATCGCCTTGTTTCACCATTATAATCGGGTCTTTAGAATGTGAAAAGCAAGATTTCTTTTCGTCCAGAATAAAAAGTGCTATCGGTTGAAAGTGGTAACAGACGGAATTTGAGATACAGTGCTCTCAAACTTGCAAATCAACTATCGTGTGTAACAACCCATATGACTTTTGTTTGGCTCAAGCTTGTTATATACTGCAGTATTATTTATGTCTGAGTCCCAATGTTGGAATTATATTTTATATAGGTGAGCGAGTTTTATTACGAAGCAAAAGTTTCATTACTTCCCTGGTGGCCTCAATGGAATACGAACAGATTCGTCGGATGCGGACTTTCCAATTTTATGAGAGAGCAGTATATATATATATGTATATATATATTTGTACATATATATATGTACATATATATAAATATATGAGTGATATGTACGCTACTACTTACGATGCGTCACTCGAGTCTTTTTTGGAGACAGCTGTAGGCATTTGGAAGTATTCTGGAGCTTATGTTAATTGATTTGATACTCGTCAAACTATCGATAACCAAATTTTCATCGAAAAAACCTTCTTTGTACATGGTTTTATGTAGAGATCGTTGTCTGATATCATCACTCAAGATTTATCTGCTTTCACTTTCCTATCAAATAAGTATGGACAGTACGATGAAAGTTTTTGGAATCCACGGATTTGAAATTGCACGCCATAGTGTCCATACTGCTCTGTTACACTCTCTCGTTGCACCATATAGACCCTAGGCTTCCACACCGTCGCAAAAAGGTTGTAGCAGCTTTAGAAAAACAATGTGTTACATTAAATGAACTGTTTCTTGCAATCTTGCAGATATCTCACCGATATCTTTTGATTAGCGTAAGATTTGTGAGTTCCGACGCTCTGCTTACTCCATGGGAAAACCGTTTCACTGCAGTGTAGCAAGGAGAACAAGGTTGATTCGAATGCGCCCACATGAGTTTTCCAACCATTTCGTGGGCTGCGGGGTGGGGTAGGGGGAGGCCGAGAGCTTAGCACAGGGATTGATCGATGGTACCTAAGCGGGTCACATGCACTATTTATTCAGGAATTATTTCTTCGCTCTGAAAGAAACTTCAGATTAAATGAATAATACAAGATTTCCTCTTTGCGCGTTTATGCTTCGTTGTTCCAGCGATATAGTGGTTATAGTGCACGGCCGATGATAAGCATATTTTGTTTTGAATGGTTCCTCGTTATAAATGATCTTTTGGAAAAAGGAGCACGTAGCACAGTAGCCAGAGATTGATCTCTTTAGATTCCTTTAACCTAAATTAACACGACGACATACCATTACAACGTCTAGAATCTGAGCTCCAAATTGTTCTTCTTGGTGTCGCCGGAGCTTCTAGATTGTCAAGCATGCAGCTACAAGGAGGCGAGCAGTCCGTAGTGATGAGTGGCTCGTGCTGCCATCCATCGGAGAGAAGGCTATTAGTTCGATTCTCTACCACGACGCTTTACTGGTGAAATTTTGATGTGATCTTTTTAAATTTTCGGTACAATAGGCTTAAATCACAAACACACCATATCACACTGTATCTTTTATAATAGCGCAGTCACACAAACAGTAAATGTACACAATTAATTTACCACCATTTGTTTCAAAAGTACAAGAAAGTGTCTTGAAGAGCATAATGAACTGGAAACAAATAAAAGATGACATAGATTCAAACTTTAATTCTAAAATAAATTATATCAGAAAACTAACACACTGGCAATCAGATCGAAAAAATTGCACGTACATTGTTACTCTATGGAACTACGCTGTGTAACAAAAAGTAGTGAAATGTTACACAGCTAAGCGTTTTTGCTGTGATAATTGCGTTATGAAAAAAAAACCTTCGATCTAATCAGCATCAGAAAGATAAAATTAAAAGAAGTGCAGAGAAGCGTCGTCCTAGGGAATCAAACCAACAATCTTTTGTTCAAGAAAGGGCAGCAGGAGCCACTCGTCACAGGGAACTGCTCGCCGTCGAGCCTCCGTATGCGCGAAGATGTAAAAGTTTGAATAACACTACTGGGAACAATTTCGAGTTCACATTCTAGAAAAAATGATGTTGTGTCGTCACATCAATTTAGGTCTGTGGAAGTAAAAGGGTTCAGCTTTTGAATAATCTCTGCCGCTCTCAAAAAATATTCTTGTCTAGCTAAAGATGTCATTTCTTCATTTGTTCTCCGCCATTATATATATAATATATTATAATATATATATCTATATATATATATATATGTATATATACGGGGGCGCCGTGGCCAAGTGGTTGTGATGATCGTCGCGGCGTGCGTGGAGCCGAGCTCCCCCCTCCAACACTCTTCGGCACTTAACAACAAACATTAAGGGCACTATATATCCATTTACTAGTTTTTCATTACAGCTAGGCATTTGATGTCCAGCGAGAAACCGTGTCTTCTATCCATGATCATCCCATCAGCGAAAATGATACCTCGGAATCAGCAGATGATTTCAGTGATGAGATTAGACAATCTTTGATGTCATGGGAGTTCTTGAGATTCTGTTGATTGACCTTTTTGAAAATATTTTTCTAAGTATGCTCTTATAAAGCGTTTATTTTGGTCGCCCTAATTTTATGGGGAAATCGGATAACTTCATGATGTAAACTTTTATCGAAAATACTTTCCAACTGAATTTCTTGAATTTATCAGATTGTTTCCACCGATCTGGCCGAAGCGACATTTACAAGCTTGGTGAAATCCGGATCACTGCACGTAGAGGCATCAAGTGGGTGTTCTTAAGATAGCGTGTGACGTGCTGTCTTTTGTTTGGTAAGTAATTCTAAATTTATTTAGATTTGCTGTACTGAAGTAAGTGTGTAGCTTGTGGGAAATCTTTTCATCGTTTTCATTGGTCGTATAAGGAAGTTTTACGATATGAGCTCTTTTATTTGCTCCTCATGAGCGACTGAAACGTAGACGTCCTGCAGCATTTGAACAATAACTGGTTGAGAAGGTGCTCATCTTGTTTTGTCGTTGGTTGCGTTTTGCCGAAGTTGAGTTATTTAAATCCTACCTCGTTGCTATATCTTCATCAACACTTTATTTAATCTAATGTTATTCAGTTGTTTGTTCAGCACTGTTTCATAAATGCTAATGTTTATTACTTCTTTCTGGTGTTTATAAAAATATATAAAAAATCCTGTGCTAGCTCATGATTAGAACAAAATATCGATCCCGCAGAAATTATTTGACACGTAATGCAAAAGCCGGATATGTGACGGGAGTTTACTTCCAGTGAAATACGGAGTAAAAACGCAATAGTTCGTCAAATTTTTGTAAGTGCCGTTTTTTTAATTTCTAGAGGAGACAGTTTTCTTCCTGCGCAAAATGACGACATGACATTAATTTTGGTTCTATGTTTGTGCTTTTCTTGGTACGCCACTACGAAATTATTCGTTTTTTTCACAATAATAAGACTTAGAAATGCTTCTAGATATTAGACAATCAATGCAAGTTACGGATAAGCCTAAATATAGGTAATTTTAAACCTGAATTATTTCAGGCTACAAAGGAAAAATAGTTTGCAAGCTCATATGGCATTGACATCTGATTGTTCCTGCTGAAAATGAATGGAAGAATTGAAAATGAACCGAATGTCTAACCTTAGTAGAAAAGTGAAGACTGTCTTCTCATCAAATTGAGAACCAAATCGCTTTCTTTCTTGAAAATACGGAATACTGTTCTATTTCAAGTGACGAACATTATTAAGATATGCTCAATGATGTTGGTGATTTGCAAAACCTTGCCGCCAGGCGGGACTCGAACCCTCATTTCATCCTCTCGAGGAGCACGTGCTTAACCAGTTGCACTATCTACGTTGTTTTGCCCCCACTTTTTCTATGCTACAGCGCTTCAACATCTCAACAATTAAACGTTCAACGGTTTGGGCTCAAAAGCCTTATAGGCAGTGACTCAACATCACTGGTACATCTCTAACATCATACCGTCATTAAAAAGCGTTTACAATATGAATCTGTCAGTAACTAATCGTTAGCTGTTGGATGTTGACAGACTGATGCGTTGTATTACAGTAAGAGTGGTGGCAGAATAGGCGTCGGTAGCGCAGTTGGTTAAGCACGCCCCCGAGATGGATGAAACACGGATTAGAGTCCCGCTTAACGTCAAGATTCCTCACATCACCCAACATCATTGTGTATATCTATAACATTATACCACCGCTAAAAAGCGATAAAGTAAAAGGAATTTTTGTCAATTTGGAGGTAGCTCTAGCATGCGCAGTAGTTAGAGGTGTCATGAACACAGGTGGTTCATATCAATGTCATAACTATAACTATGTTACAGTGAACAATGTTTTCAACGCCTATACAGATTCTTGGTTAGTGTACAACTTTTGCACCGTCGAGATTTGAATAACAGGCGTCATATTTCTGAACAAAAAAAAATATCTGAATCATTTCCTTTTTACTGCTAGTCCGTAAATTTCACAAAAGACTTGAATAAGGCTCAACAATGGTAATTCATAGAAATGATGACATTTCTGAAGGTTCAGGTGGACTGCTTCCTTTATCAAGTAGTGAAAAAAATGTTATCAAATACCAAAAATATCACGATCCCTTTTGCAGTCTAACCATATCGCAGAATCATACAGTAGTGTGTAATTCTCCAAGCCATTTCTAAGAAAATGGATCTATATCTCTTACAAATTATCAAGTGGATCGAGAGGGGTTGATGACATATCGTAAGAGGCTAAGCACATAAAGATTTCCCATTGACCTCTTATCACCTCTAAAAAAATAGGTTTGTGAGGAGTCATTTCATACTCAGCATAGGCGTTCAGTAAAGGGAAAGAACGATATTAATGAAGATTCGTATCAAGTTAAAGCAGTACGACTTATTCGGATTTCTGGTGAAGCTACTAAAAAGGTGAACAATTCGCAACTTTGTGCTCACCTTTCTGACAAAACAGTCGCACTAAGGCTTCATCGTGCAACAAAGATGTTTTGATAATTTTAACACAGTCGTTCTGTCCATCTGAACCGCACTTGACCAGTGTATCATGAAATAAGCCCGGTTGATTTTGCCTAATTTCATAACTTTAACCTATTGAGTACGGCAGAAAATCCCACTCAGCTGCTGTAATTACTGCGTTGCGTTTTTTCCGCTACTTTGTATTAAAGCGCTCCGTGCCAAGAATAAAGGGAATTTTTCGTAAATTGGGGTTCTGAGGAAGCACTGACATCATTGAATGGTGGAACATCACAAGATAGACTTCCACAAAAAGTTTTTTTTTAATAAAAAGAGCTCCCATTTTTCAAAAATATTTTGTGCTTCAGCAAGAAAACCTCATTTTTCCAATAAGGAGCACATTACCAGTTGTTTTATAATATTTTTCTGTTTTCATCTATGTTTTCGTAGTCATTCGATAATTTAAAAAATGCCGGCTTTGTAACCTAGTTTGGTATCTGGAAAAGCCATCATACTACATTGCACTAACGAAAAGAACATTAGTTTTGGCGTTCGAGTTTTTCTTCACAGCGGAAGTTTGGTATTAAGTAGTAACATTGCGTTATAAAAAGGCTTCGTAACTTCGAAAGAGGTGGATATTGAGGAACTTTCATAAGCGTATTTTTGCTAAAAAGCACACCCTTCGTTTTGAGAATCTTCACTCTTCATTGCGAGTTGCGTGGAACGCAGTCACATTCCGGTGCAGTGAGCTGGGTTTCCTTTCCTTTTACCCCATAGAACGTTTTCACTATACTGTTAGCAATTATTCGAAAGCTCGAAAAATGAGAGAAGCTTGGTTGAAAGGTCTTCTTAGTGTGCAGTACGAACGAGCAGAGAAATACTTCTCAGTTTCGGAGTAATGAACCCGTTGTAAGAACTTCACAGCAATTTTTGTTGTCAGTTATTCTGCTAATTATGGATGTTAGAGGCACTTTAGCGCCGCACAAGATGAAGTATCACTGAAGCGTCTTTCTCTGATTATTTTTTAGCAAGACTTAGATTTTTAATAAGACCTTAAGCTTAGGACCTATGACATGTTTTCCACTCTTATTGCGTATAATTGCCGCCGATCTTGCAAGAGTGAGAACGTCTTTTCTCACTCAAAGTTCCTTTGATCGTCATTGATTTTGTCTGTTCTGCTGTAGACTTCCAAACATCGACAAGTGCACGTGGTAGAAGTCGATTGGTTTTCTCCACCTGAGATTGTGTCAACTCAAACACATCTCGTCTTCATCAAAGTGTAGCTCGAATTCTGGGTTACAGCACATTCTACGAGCACTCATCGATTTTTTTTATCAAAGCTCTCTCTCTTATTAGACACGCGGTTGCCAAGTGTAAGTTTATTCTACACAATAAGTGTACTAATGACTGAAATTTCGGAGGTTTCTTCTTGTTCGAAGACGGATAAGTCAAATTGACTTGTAATATGCTCAGTCAACCACTTTCAGAAGCGTAACTCCAAAGAGAAGGATATCGCGTGCTCGAATGGTGGGCAGTGTGGATTATGTCTTCAAGGACACATCTAACTTCACGTTTTCTCCGAAGTTCATGACTCAGTATATCTATTCAGGTATTCAGGTAAACTTAGGGATTTAGGTATAATGCATATACAACTTCTACACAGTAACCTTTTATGCCAGATTGGTCATCAGTGCAAGTACATACAAACTGACTCTTCTTGCATTTGAGTAGTGCATCACGTTGAACGTTTTCCTGTAGCGCCTCAAAGGGTAGAGTCCTGAGCGACAATAATTTCCTTGGAAACCCGCTCCAGCTATCTAATTTTTTAATTATTTTGTTCTTCATCGCTCGGGTCACCACATAAGAACCAGCATGTGCGACGAGTGTATTATCGGCGTCGTCACCGACATTCTCATCGTAACTGCACCCCGGAAAGTGGTCGGGCAGGATTTCCTAATTTTTGACAGCAGGTAGAATGAAACTTTCATTCGTTTGCTTCTAGCATACTCTTTCTTGGGACTCTACGATCAATAGCTTCACATCAGTCTACAAAGATTTGACCCTTCTCGTGCAAGGAAGTTTTTGGTGCAAGTGGAAGAGGATGCTCATCGGAAGCAAATGGGCCAACCAGGAAACCTTTAATGCAGTATTGTATTTCAAGACGATTTACACGTAAAATTGTTAAGGTTATTTGGAAAGGTGGGAACTAGACGAAAACATCTCAAAGGTATTTTGAGCTGAGTGATAAAAATTCAAATACCGCCTGCACCTCTGCTAGCAGAGTGTTTATTCTTAATGTCACAAAAAGCGCAATGTGAGTGACGTTTTCTTGTTTGGACCAGTCCAGTGACACTTTTCCTTACGCTTTTTACGTATCAGGTTTTTTAAAGAATGAAAGAGAACGTGCATCGTTAGGCAGCCTAGTTTAATTCTGAGTTTATGGCACCTTCTTGACACTCGTCCTCAAGAAAAGGCCACATCGGGAGCTCCTTCGGGGCCTGGAAAATGTGGAAGTTTTTTATTGGGTCTGCTTTTTCTTTCCAACGTATAAATTGCTGAACTATATGCGCAGAGACCAAAGACCAGATGCTCATGGATTGCTTGACTGTCTCTCGCAAATGTACAAAGGCGTTTATTTATTAAAAGCTCGTCTTATCTTTCACCCGTGTGCTTACCAGCGGCTTGAGCGCAAGATTTGGCCCACTTGAACCGTAATGCGAAGCTATAGCAGACTGGTCTAGTAGAAACAAGGAATCTATGCTTAAAAACCTACGTCTCAGCATATGGTTGTTTATTTTTCATTCTAATCCTTTGTCTGCTAACTGATGGCATGTCAGGTGCCCTTGAGTCGAAGAGGTCGGAGATCATTTTATGAGAAGGATCCATGGAACGGCATAGAACGTGTAGAGAAGAATTACGAAAGTCGAGACACGAACAAAACTTGAAACCAGAGGTGACTGTGAGCCCTTGATAATCTTTGCCAATTTTCTATTAAGCCTCCAATTACTTCATAAAGGCTTTCTTTCTCCTTTCTGTAAACACGTTTCATTACTTTTCAGCACTATCAGTCTCAGTCTTTCTTCACTACTCTATTTCAATCTTAAACTCATTTTATGATTGCTTTGTCTTTAGTCTCTGAATAAACGATGTATGTGCGCGGAAGCTCTGTTAGCGGTAACATTCAACTTCATGATAAACCTCGAAGAAAGTTGTCCAGGCGTTTGAGCGATGACGAGAGGAAAAATTTATATAGAATTCGCATCTTCCTTTACCATAATTAATCTTCGTAAATGTTTTTAAGTAGAATTTCTATTTACTAAACTTACTATTTATTGTACTTTGTATTCAAAAAATGAATTGATTACAGTACTCTGTTTTTGAATATTACAATCAAGCATATGAGGTATTATAGCTGTCTCAAGAGATCTATCTGTGAATAATAGAATTCTAATCATAATGATCAATTTTACATAAGTGAAAAGTCTTTGCTCCATCTGTCGAACCATTGAAAAGGCTTAACTCTGCATCTTAGACTTGGAATTTTCAACACTTCGGCGATCATTAACGAACGCCTTAAGAAGCGCTCCAGCTTGGCTAGCTTCAATACTGCAAGGAGACTTGCTCGACCAGTATTCCACGACTCTCGTGAAAATGAAAGTCTCAAGCAAGCGACTAGAGGAATTGAATGCTAGAATTTTTGGGACGCTCTTAGTGAAAAAACTATGATACGGCTCAAATGAAGTGATGAGGCAAAGGTGAATTCCGAAAAAAAATTTTTGAGCAGTGAAGGATGTTACTTGTCGAAATATCGCCGCTGAAGAGAAATATGTATGCGGAGAATACATAGTGTCACCCCCATTCCATTCCTTATCCTCCTAATAAATTCC